TCCTGCTGCTGCTTGGAAAAATAGCATTTGTGCAGGCAATTAATCTTCCACTTGCCAGTTTTTCATGCACCCTACGCATGGGCATGGCTGTTTAACCCCATGCTCACATATATTATGTTGTAATGTGTGGGACACTGGTGGCCTCCAGCTCTTCTCTATTTTAACCCCTCTTTGGTAGTATTTTAAAACACACACTGGAAGGTGATTTTTATGGTTGTCCTGGGATGTATGTTTATGGACTTAAATACATTTATAGTACTCTTGGGCTGAGGTTTTTTTTTTTTAATCAGTCCAAGGTCACTGCTATGTAAATGAACCTGCCCTGAGACAAGGAACCTGAAGGCAGAAGTTGGAAGTGACTGGTTATCCAAAAGAGGGGAGCTGTCTCAGGTGGGAATTATCCAGGATTAGATCCAGGATTGATCTTTCTCCAGTCACAATTCATTTTGGTTTGAGGTGGCATCATGTAGGTGCCATATCTTGGACTTCCCTTGTAATATGTTTTTTCCACCTGCGTGGTCAAAGGTGCTTTATTGATCCCATTGCTCCAGTATCTGAGCACATTATACTCATTATAATGCTATAAACAGCCAGGTTTTAGCAAGTGAAGCCTGTGTTTCTAGGCAGAACTATGAGCGGCCTTTGGTTTTGTTGCAGTTCTCTCAGCTCTGCCGCAGAGCTCTTCACATCCCAGCACTGTGTTTGTCATGGGCAAGTGTCTACCCCGGTGCTGGTGGAACAGAAACTCAGTGCAGATCCATTACGAAAGAGGTGTAGTATCAGATTGCTGCTGCCTTTGAAGAAAATCATTTTTTTGCCTCAAGAAGACGGGTAACTTGTAGGAGAGATGGTCCTTAAGGACACAGATGTTTGCTCGAAACACCTTTGTCTCCCACAGCCCCTCAGGTTGGTCTGACAGGTGAAACAAGCCTGCACAAATATGCAACAGTGATCTAATCAGCTGGAACAACAGCAATATTTTAGCCGGCGCTACCTTTTAACAGCATCATTAAGGGCTCTCATTACTCTTTTATTAGAGGCTCACTCTTTCTTATCAGATTACAGGATGAACATAACTCATGGCACCGATCTGATCTCCTGTTAAAGAGGATTAGGGCGTTGCATTAGCTGGGGTTGCCGCGGTGCGTGACCTGCTGCGTGGCCCCGCGTGGCCGTTCGCCGCGGCGCGAAGGTGGCACCGAGGCCGTGGGCTCCTGCATCACCCGCCGAGCAGCTCCTCGTCGCATCGGTTGGAGCG